CCTTGGAGGCTTTCAAAGCAATGCTGGGAGAGCCAGAGGCCCCAGGCTAGGCATGGCCACCAGGGACAGCCCTGGTCATTTACCCCAAGGGCTGTACCAGTTTCAGCCTGTCCTCCGTGAGCCAGGACCTGAGAAGGCCAGGAGCTCTGCCCCAGGTGATGGCAGGACAGCTCCACTCGGGCGGGAACCAGGCCTGACAGTTGGCGTTCTAGAGCATCCACTGGTGCCCGGTATCACTGGGATCGTGCGGTGTTGTAAAGAGAGAGGACAGTGCTGTGGGGACAGGGGGAGAGGTTCTATCCCCCAACGCCAGCAGAATCCTCGAAGTTCAAGCCTCAGGGTTTGATGGAGGTTTCTGTGCCAGTCCTACAGAAGGGTTTGCAGAGCTGCTAGGGACCTCACAGGTCATCGTAGTCTTTCAGAGTGCAGACTCCTGTGTAGCCATAAAGAGAAATGAAGCACGAGCACAACATGGGTGAACCTGGAAATCAGTACACTCAAAGAAGCCAGAAGCAAACGGTGACATAATGTAGGATTCCGGTATGGGAGATGTCCCGAATGGCAAACTCATAGACAGATAGCAGGTCAGTGGTGGCCTAGGGGTGGGAGGAACGGGGGGCGCTGGGGTACAGCTCAGGTGTGCAGGGTTTCTTTCGGGGGTGATGAAAATGTCCTAAAATTGATTGTACAACTCTGAATACACCAAAAGCCACTGATTTAACACTTGAAATGGGCGAGCTGAATGGTATGTGAATTATAGCTCAATAATAATAATTTAAAAAGCTCAGTTACGAAAAAGGGAGTGTAGGCTGCAGGGTCAGATGGCCTGGGTTCACATCCTGACCCCACCCCTTCCAAACTGGGCAACCGTGGGCAAGTCACTTAACCTCCTGCCTGAATTTGCTCCCTGCAAAATGAAGGTGATGCAGCCCCTGTTTTGGCAGGTTGGCGTGAGTCCGTCCGTGTGACTGTCGGGGCAGCGCCTGACACATGATGGGCGTCTGCTCTGATGAGTTCAGCCCTCTGTTTAATGTGGTGGAAGACGGAAGCCCCGAGAGGTTAAATGACGGGCCCCGGGTCACTGTCGTAACAGCCTCCAAATTATATGTCCCAAGTCCTCATCCCTGGAACCTCTGAATGTGACCGTATTTGGAAAAAGGGTCTTTGAGGATATAATTAAGGTAAGGATCTTGAGCCTCAGAGGTTGCCGGATTATCCAGATGGGCCCCACATCCAATGACAAGTCCTTGTAAGAGACCCAGGGGACAAGACAGACATAGAGGAGGAGGCCATGTGGGGACAGGGCAGCCACCAGCCGGGAGGGACTCCCAGGGCCACTGGCAGCTGGAAAGGGGAAGGAACGGATTCTCCCCCAGCGCCCGCCGTGGGAGCACAGCCCTGCCGACACCTTGGTTTTGGCCTCTGGCCTCCAGAACTGTGACAGGACACATTTCTGGCCATCTGGCACGGCAGCCCCGGGAGCTTGAACAGTGACCCAGCCCGCAGTATCAGGGCGAGGACTCGCGACTCCGCTTATCACTCGGGACCCCTTGGTGGCATTTATCGGTGGGTAAAAAAAAAAACAGCTTCAATCCCAGATACCGTGAGGGTTCTGGAAGCAGTTTCTGTGATCTTCAGATGAGGCACGGAGGCCCCACTGTCCCCTCGCCCATGCCGCAACCCATCAACAGGAGGGAGGCGAGGCTGGAGCGCGTGAGCGCGTGAGCCCCGCTGTCTCCTTCGGGGCACACCGGCTCCTTAGATTTACCAGCCCCTGCCTGAAAAAGTATTTAATTTGCCTTTTACAATGCACCAATTGCAAGTTAATTAACTGGCAATTGAAAGTTATAGGTGACGTTAGAATTTATTAATAACATTGGAAATAAATCTCCGTGGAATTCAAGTAATTGAAAATCTCATGAAATTCTCTTTTTCATCATCCATAAAACAGGGCTGGGAGAGAGGTGTTCCAGAAACCTCAGGGGGTGGTTGGGATTGCAGGTGTGGGATAATTGGGTGGGAGGGGACTGCTGTTCTGACCTGGGCCCATCTCAGATGCCCGCCTGCCCTCCTGTGCACCACTTCGGTCACTCCTCCTAGGGTCTCGGAAGGTATCTTTCTCCCTTCGGGAATGTCCTGTGATTCACTGCGGTGATCAGAGCGGGGCACTGGGGACACAGAGGTGACCCTGCCCACCAGAAGGTCATAGCCTGGTGGGATAGACAGAGCCGCGAGGGCTGGGGCTGGGGCCCAGGGCCAGAGTCAGCAGTTCCTGCCCATCTGTGCCCATGTGTACACACACACATACCAGGGGCTGGAGCCTGTCGGTGTTGGAGAAGAAATGTCGGGTTTGATTTAGACACAGGAGAGAGGCGTGTGCAGGAAGCAGTGCCCCGAGGATGGGCGGAGAGCAGAGCAGGCTTAGGGAGCCCCCAGGGGGGTTGGGCTGAGATGAAGGGGGTGAGCCCGTGTTAATGCTCCCTCATTAACCCTCTGGGTGGCCTGCGGGGGTGGGAGCTCCCTTCCTTGCCTCTCTTCCTGCACTGGGCTGATGATGCTCATGAGTCCTTCCCCCGGGGGGCTGGGGGCAGAGGGGCAGTTGCAGGTCCTGGAGGCCCCGAAATGGCATCCTGAGGGGGGGGCCTCTGGGTGGCTTGCCTCTCCTTTCTGAGTCACCACTGGGACCTGCAAGCGGAGTGTAGAGGTGCAGGCTGGAGTTTCCACCCATGAGCACAAAGACACAATACGAGACAGAAGCGAGGGCCGGAACGGCCCAACTGGTCTCACTGGGCTGCAGGAGTCAGAGGAGGGGATGCGTCTGAGGATTTTGTCCAAAGCCGAGAGCCGAGATCTGAGAGCCGAGATCTGAGAGCCGTGCTGCCCCTGGGGCTCTCAGTTCGAGACCACGCCCCCTCCGACCTGTCCCCCCACCACCCCCCTGTCCTGCAAGCACCCGGGGCCCCCACGTGGCTGGGGAGCCAGCACCCACAGGCCAGACAGACACGAGGTCAGCCAAGGAGAGAAGCTCCAGCCCGTCGCCGGGCTGCTGCCACAGTACATGCCACCTGCAGCAGGGAGGATGGGACCCTGGCGACAGGGCCAGGTTGCAGAGCCTCGGCTCGGGGTGGGGAACAGGGCAGCCACTGCAGATCCCTGAGCAGGGGGGCAGCGCAGGCAGGCCTGCGTTTCAGTGGGAGCCCTCTCTGGGCCAGATGGAGGGAAGGGGCCAGACTGACCGTGAGAACCTGCTGCAGCAGCCGGTCCCCTGTGGGCCAGCTTCCTTCCCCTCCAGCGTTCGAGGTCCTCCCAGATCTGGCACGCGGCAGCCGCTTCGGTCCTCCCGTGAGCGTTCCTTCTGTCCCCCGCCCTGAATCTGTCCCGCTCCTCGGCCGGCACCGGCCTTTGCTCACACTTGGCCCTCCTGGCAGTGCCATGCCTTGGGCTCCCGGTTTATGTGCACGCCGTCTGCCTCCAGGAGCCACAGCAGCCAAAAGCCCGGCCTCCCCAAGTCTCAGACCTGTCCTGAAACCCTGCCGGCTGTGTGACCTTGAGCGAGCCGCTTAACCTCTCTGGGACTTCACGGGCCCTCCACAAAACGGGGAAGGTGGTTCTGACGCTAAAGGGAGGTGACCTACGCCCCATGTTTGGTGCAGTGCCCAGCCTCATCCTTATGAAGGACTGGCTCATGACCACCTCCCCCAGGAGACCCCGTCCCCCAGCCCTGGCCCTCGGGGACTGGGGCCTCCCACCTGGAGCTGCTTCCCTCCCGCACTCCCTTTCACTCCCAGCGACCTGGGAGAGCCTGGGCATCCGGTCCTGCCCCAGTGCTGGGGGCTCACTCCAGACTGCTAGCCTAGCCGCCCCAGACGGTTGCACGATCCAGGGCCAGGGGACAAACGAAGGTGTCCCATGTATCTAAATATTGAAAAGTTACATGTTGAGTTAACCAACTTAAAATATGCTCTATGCTCCTACTTTGACAAATATCCTTTACAAGGACTGGGAAGGCCGGGCTGACTTCAGAATTCTGACCTCTCAGGGCTCTGCCCTAGAATGGGATGGCCCCGGGGGTGCCTGCCCCTGGTCCTCGGAAGCCCCCCCTTCCTGCTAGCTGCTGTCCTGGGCCGAGAGGCCTTAGGCGCACGTGTGGACACCCACCCTGCGGGTCCACGCTCCGTCCACACCAGCCCAAAGTGACAGCTCCCTGGTCTAAGAATGCAGATGCCAACAGGGAAGCGGCCTGCCCTTGAGACGTGCAGGGGGAGAGGCCCACACGGGAGCCTGAGCTGAGGGCCACGGGACAGCACATTTCGGTGTCCTGGGCAAAGCAGATAGTCTCGCACGGCTTCTCCACCGCGGGTCTGGGAGAAGGAGATGCCTTCTGACCCGCTTCCCTGAGCGGTGGATGGCTTGTCAGAGGGCGTGCAGTCCTGCGGGAGCCCCGGGGGCTGCCCCGTTCCCTGGCTGAGGCTTCAGCCAACACAGGGGGTTGCTCAGGGCCAGGCGTGGGGGGGCCCAGTGAGGTGAGAGGGTGGCCTATAGAAAGAAAAAGGGGCTCAGCCCTCCAGGGGAGGCGCCCACAGCCCTGCCTGGCCCGGCCTCCCGCACCTGTGTGTACGCTCTGGGCACAAGGGGGCCTTGTACAAGGGGATCCCCCATGAGCCGCCCTCCTCCGCCCCTCCAAGCCTTTGCTGAGGCCGTCCCCGCTGCCTCCAGTGCTCTTTCCTGTTTAGCCGACTCCCACTGACCCCTGAAGGCCCTTTCCTCCTCCACGGCCCCTCGCCTGGCCCCCGACAGATTAGGTGTCCCCCTGCTGGGTTGCGGTGGCCCACAGCCGTGTCCCGTGCTCCGTGTGTGGCACCGTCCTCACATCGGACAACACCGTCCCTAGATGGGAACCTCCCAGGGACGGCCTCCCTCAGTACCTGCGTCTCCGTGGCCAGGAGCCCGGCTCCCAGGCCTCCCCACCAGCAGCGCCGCAGGACACCAGAGCCCTGGGAGAGGGGGGGGACAGCACCTTTATTGTCAGAGAATTGCAGACTTCCCGCCCGCCTCTGACTGCCGCACCTCGGCCCCCAGGCAGGGGGAGGTGGCCGGGGCCTGACCACAACCTCCCGGGGAGCACCAAGGACGCTGGGGACAGACGGATCCTGCCCTGAGAGGAGACACCACTCGGGGTGGCACCCAAACCTCCGAGTCAGCGGCTGAGACTGGGTCCTGGCCCAGCAAGAGAGGAGCACCAGGGCCGGTCCGGGTCACAGGGGACCCATGGCCTGAGAGGCCTTGAGGGCTGTGGTCTGAGCTGCTCTGGGATCCCCGGCCCCGGGCGTCTGCTCTGGAGCCTGCCGCCTGGGCCCACGGCCCTGAAGGGGGCAGCGTCTCTCCCGACGGGGCCCGGGACTCGGACAATGTCCTGTCTCTAGGTGGTCAAGGGGACGCGGGACTTGCCGTATGCTGCAGAAATGGCCGACCCTAGAGATTCCCAGAGAGGGCAGAGCTGCCGTCCCAGGAAATACTCCCTCCTCTGGGCTCAGGGGCAGGAGGGCCCTGCTGGGCTGGGTGGGTTGAGCCTGGGAGGCAGCGGTGGGTGGTGCCGGTTTGGTTGGAAGGGCCCTGCACCCCAGGGCCCCTCCCTCACTATCCCCAAGTCCGTGGGAGCGTCCCGGGTTTATTCAGGGTCTCCCTGGCGCTGCCAGACCCTGGAGCAGACCCCAAGCCCAGGGTCGGGGGTTGAGGAAGGAGGCCCAGGACCCTGCCTTCCTTCCCTGCTGGCTGGTCCAGCCCCCTTCCCCTCCAGCCCTGCGCCCACCCTGAGTTTCTCCGTGAAGGCAGGAACCTGGCACGGTCTAGGGTTAAGGAACCGGGAGGCCGGGGTTCAAATCCTGCCCCAGCTGTCCCTGGTCCCGTGGCCTCGGCAGGTTATTTATACTCGCCAGGCCTCCATCCTCCCGTGGAAAGTGGGGATATCAAGCCTACCTCCTAAGGGTTAAATGAGACGGTGCAGGGAAAGCTCCTTGGACAGGCCCAGACTCAGTAAATGATGAGTATTAGGATTATTCTCAGGCCCTGCCCAGCCCACCCAGATCCTGTCTCCTGCAGAAAGTGAGGGTGGGGAGGGCAGGGACCAGCAAAGGGCTCTGCCAAGGGTGCTGGGGCCCTCTGGACCCTGCCTCTGGAGCTGCCATCTGTCCCCAAGTCCCCCCAGGCCCTGGGGGCCAGTGTCCCTCATGATCGTCGGTGTCCGGAGCCCAGGCCCACTTGGGGTGTCTAGGAGCCAGCCGGGCAACACAGGCCTCTGGGCTGGCTCTCTGGCAGGGCTGGGGCTTGTCCTGAAGAGCTGGCCTCTCACTTGCCGCCACCGGCCTGGCCAGCCCTCCTCTGCCCGGGGTCGGGGCCGAGCAGGGCAGCGAGCGCACCGTCAGGCGGGGAGCCACCACGCTTCATCTTCAGGTTGGCTCTCAGGGCAGCATCTTGGCCAGAGCCCCCCTCGGGGGAGGCCAGGGGATCTGGAAGGACAGCAGGAGGGTGGGCTCATGCAGGGCGTCGGGAGCACTCAAAGGCCCCCTTTGCTTCTGGTGCCCAGCCAGCGAGGAAGCCAAGTGCCCAGCGAGGACAGGGCAAGACAGCAGCAGGCTCCCTGGTCACGCGGGCACCCACCCCCTCAGGCATCCGCCCGCTCACCCTGGACCAGGGCTGCCCGGGGCTGGGCTCCAGGCCCTGCAGGGCTGCCGGTCCCCACCTGCCGCAAGGGCCTCCCACCCCATCAGTGAGCACGAGGCTCTGCAGAGCACCGTGGGGCAAGAGGAGGGTGCCTTAACAGAAGAAGAGACCCTAGAGCAGGTCCCGAAGTGGGAGCTGGTGGTCAGCCGGCGGAGGGACTGGCCTGAGCAAAGGCATGGAGGTGGGGGCAGGGTGGGGGGAGGGCCCGGGATGACTAGGTGGTGGCTCCAAGTCACTGGGCACCAGGCCATGCTGTGCTGGGCAGGGACTTGGGACTTGAGGTGCCTGGACATCGGTCACGGGCAGTAAGGAGCCACGGAGGGTCCTTGAGCAGGGGAGGCACAGGGTAGGGTCCACCTTGGGTTTGGGGAAGGCCATCTGGCAGCCAAGTGGAGGTGTTGTCGAGGCAGGCAGACCAGAAGGCGGCATGGAATGGGGAGGCGGGGGCAGTGGGGCTTCCCAACTCCACGGCCAGCTGCAGGTCCGGCTGGCCCCAGGCCCTGGTCGCAACTCACCATGGATCCCAATCATGTGCTCCAGGATGAGGACTCTCTCTGCCAGGATCTTCAGGGCCTCCCGCAGCTGCTGTACCCCCTCACCCTAGCGGGGAGGAAGCAGCCAGGGTCAGGGCCGGCCACAGAGACGGGCCACGTCGTCCCCTCCCTCCCCGCTCCTGCCTCCTCCCCCTTTGTCCCCATCCTCTCAGTACAACAGCCGTCCCAGCTTGGATAGCCACGTGCCAGGCCTGGGGTTTGAATTCTTGTTTGCAGACAAGAAAACTGCTGCACAGAGAGGGTAACCAGGGTTCTGTGGCCACACAGCCTGGCTTCACACCCAGACCCGTCCCCCTCACGCCTTGGTTTTTCCTGCTCCGGGGGCTGCCCGGCTGCTTCCCCTGGGCGCCCTTCTTTCCGGAAAATGCCCTGTGAAGGGCAGAGCACCTAGTACGGGTGGGCGTGCTTCACTGGTCTCCTGAGAGCTCTCCAGGTGTGGCCACCCCAGCAAGAGGGAGAGAAGGGAGAGCCGCTGCTCCTGGAACGTCAGCACGAGGGCACCGTGAGGACAGGCCGTTTCTGGGGACCCAGCCTACACACGGGCAGAGGACCCTGGGCACCGAGACCCGTCAGTGAGCTGATTTATTGAGAAGACAGGTGTCAAGGCCAGTGATGGTGAGGGGCTCAGGCCCCACGCTGAAGTCAGTCCCAGAACAGCGCCTCTTGCAGGCATAACACGACAGCTCTGTCCTGACGTTCAGATCGAACGAGTTTAAAACAACACAAAGGGATGGGGCACCCGGGTGGCTCGACGGTGAAGCGTCCGACTCGATCTCAGAGCAGGTCTTGATCTCGGGGTCGTGAGTTCAAGCCCTGAGTTGGGCTCCATGCTAGGCATGGAGCCAACTTATAAAAAAGCAAAATAAAAAAACGAAAGGAGAGCAAAAAGTGACCTGTAGGTTAAGGAGAGACGTCTTCCCCCCCCCAGCGAACCAAAGGCCATGAGAAGCCACACTGGTGGCAGTGTCCGGGATGGGGGTCCAGGGCCCCAGCTAAGCCCCATGCCCCTGAGCCACGGGATGCACGCTTACAGAAAGCAAAGGGAGAAGTCCTAAGTACCGTTTCCGTCTTCCCTTTCAAGTCTGCGAATCTCCCTGCGAATCTGTGCCCATGCTTTGTACCTACATCTTCCTCCCGCTGCCTCCTGGGCCCACCACAGATGCTCTGGCTCCAGCCTCCCCCCTCCATCCCAGCCCACCTCCCCAGTTACCCCCAGGCTGGCTCATTAGAGAACCCTAGATGCCCACTCTGCTGGCCGCCCCCCGAGCTCTGACACACCCAGGGGATTCTGGCTCTCAGCCTGCAAGGTCTCCCCCGCCGGCCCCACTGCCCTCACCCCCTTTATCCATCACCCCAGTCTCCAGCACCCCTCCTCCTCCCAGACGGTCATGCCCGTGCTCCATCTGTGTCCCCTCCCGGCCCCATCGTGCCCCGGTCCCTGCCTGCTCCCATTCACTCCCCCACTGTCCCCTCCCACATCCACCAGCCCTCTGTCCACCTGCCCACGTATCCTTCAGTCCACCAGCGCCGTGTCCCTGGGGGCACCGCCGTGCACCAGGCGCCGCGCATGGGGGATTCCTGTCCCTGGAGAGGGACTCCACAGCCTGCAGCCTCCTTGAATAAGGGGTTCCCCCCGGCAGGGTTCCCCCTGTCCTCCGGCCCCGGGCCAGTGCCCCATCTGCACACTATGCTGCAAGTATTATGTCACTCACCGGCGCGGGGACCCCCTTCACCCCATGGCCCAGAGCCCTGTGCCCTGTCCCTCCCACCGGGACGCAGCCGAGGGGGCAGGAGGGGAGCACGGCCCCCAAGACCAGTTACCTCTGCAGCAGCTTTGTCCTCCTCTTGCCCCTTCCCGCCAGGCTCGCCCTAGGAAGAAAACTGCGCAGTCAACCACCGGTGTGTGTGTGTGCGGGGTGGGGGTGGGGGGGCGCCTCTCTACCCTCTCCAGCTTCTCGCGCAGGCCATGGGGGGCCGGCAGGGAGTTAGGGCAGGCTGGGCAGGCAGAGCCTGGGGACAGGGGTGCTGGGGCCCAGAGCCTGACAGCTGCACCCATGGGAACTCCTGCCCTGGGGTGAGCAGAGCGGGGGAGCGCCCAAGGCCCCAGGCATCCCTGCTCAGCCCGGCATGGGTTGGGTTTGGGGGCTTCACTGGGCTTCAGGCTTGAAACCCCGCCAGCTCAGGTCTCAGCTCTGCCAGGAATCAAGTCCCCGCTTCTCTCTGCCTCCACCCCTAAAACAAGGCCAGTAATATCGGCCTCACAATAACACCCACGTGACATGCAATGTGACTTGGAGCAAGTTACTTGACCTCTCTGTGCCTCCGTGCTCTCCTCTCTAAAACGGGGTAATGCTGCCTACCTCCTGGGAGTATTCAGATTAAATAAATCAATACTGATAATGAGCTCTGATTGGAGCCTGGTGCCCGAAGTTCGGGGACAGGACTCACCATTGTAACCAGAGAGAAGCCAGAGGGAGGCGTGGTATGAGGCTAACACTCCTGGGTTTAAATCTTGGCTCCATCATTGCCTCACTGTGCAACCTTGGGCAAGTTACTTAACCTCTCTGAGCCTTAGCTGCCAGTTCTCAAAAAAAAAAAAAAAATGGGGAAAATAAAGTCCTGCCTTGCTGGGTCACCACAAAGCTTAAACTCACTATGGATGAAGAGCGCCTCCCCTCCCAGCACACAGGTGCTCAGCAAAGCTCCATCCCTCCTCCCTGGCTCTCTGCCCCTAACTTTAGACGTGGGCACAGAGGAGGTGCCTGCCTCCTTGGCCCTGCAGGCAGGAGTGGAGACTCATAAATTCTTGTTTCCAAGGAGGGAAATTTGAGGCCAGCTGTCTGAGCCCTTACTCCTGGAAGGTTCAGAGGAGGGAGGGGCTCCAAAGGCCACACAGCTTGTTAACCTAGGGGTCTGGGCTCCCCGGAAGAGATCTGAGGACACTCATCCAACCCTCTACCAGGAGGCTACTTCAGTTCTTGCTCACACTCCCAGTGAGGGGCTCCCCATTTTCCAAGGGCACCCCTTCCCAGCTCGGGCAGCTGGAGTCACAGGCAGGCGGCCCCCTTCTCTGGGCAGGGTAGAATCAGGCCATGTTCGGGGTGGCTGTGGGGCTGAGCTCAGGCCAGGCCGGGACAGACCCCCCACCACCCACCCGGTGCCCTGGGCCTGCACCAGAGCCCACCACCCTGGGAACAGCCCAGCGGCACAGCCCCCCACTTACAGCCGGTCCCGTCACGCCCCGCTCTCCGGCCAGGCCCTGTAGAAAGGCAGACAAAGCAGATGAGTCCTTGCCTGCCCCCCTAATACCTCCGGCTTCCCCCTAGCAGCCCCTGCCCCAGGCCGGGAGGACGATGGCTTGGAGATGGGAAGGCCCCTCCTGGGCCACCCTCCACTGGCTCCTCCCTGAGCCCCGGCGGGGCCCTCGGTCTTCTCAGCTGAGAAATGGGCTGTTGTGGGTGTCACACAGATGGCAAAGCCCGCAGGCCCCCCCGCACGCAGAGGGAGCCCCCCCCAGAGAACAAGTGACAGGGTCCCACTCGAGGCCTCCCGTCCATGTTGATATCCAGCCGGAAGGCTCCCCAGAGCCCAAACCCATGCGTCCAGCTGCCCTCCCATTTCTCCACCTGCCCACAGGGGGGCGCCCCACTCCACCTCCCCCAAGTGGAACCCTGGGTGCCCCCCAAACCCACCGCACTCTGCAGCCACCTCCTAGGGAGATGGCTCCCCGTCCTCCCAGCTGCTCCCACGCACGCCCGGGAGCTAACCTTCCTTTCCCTCTCTTGCCAAATCTGTTCCATGCACCAGACCTGTCACCTCCACTTTCTAAACACGTCCGTTCCCCTGGCCGCTTCCGGCGCCACCACCTGAATGCAGGTCACCTTCTCTCTCCCCGCACGCTTCCGTGGGTCTCCTCCCTGGACTCCCTGCCCCACTGCTCCCCACCTTCCGCTGACGGACCACAGCCACAGCCCGAGGGGCCTCTTAAAGATGTCAATCACATCACGGGGTCTCGCTCCCTGAGACTCAGAGTCCCCTTTCCCTGTGACAGAAACCCACACTCCCACAAGCCTTCTCTCAGAGGGTGCCCCTGGGGTGCCTGGCTCTGGGGGGCCTGGACTCCCCGTTTACCTGGCCTGTCGTACCTGAGTCAGGAACAGATCGGGCCTGAGGGCCTCCTGCCACCTCTGCAGCCCCAGGCCCCCCAGCCCCCAGGCCCTGCCCACCAGCCGGCTCTGGGCCCCTGTGCTCCCGGCCAGAGCTCCTGGCCACCCCTCCCCGCGGCCAGTGTGCCCACCTGCCCCCTCCATGCTGCATCCTCCCGGACGTAAAAATCCCCAGCGGGGACAACAGGGAGCAGAGCAGGAATCAGGGGACACTGGTTCTGAATGAATATAAACTCTACCAGGCTGCACTGTGGCCCCCCGGGCCTGGCTGTACCCTCAGCTCGGGCTGTTGGCACCCTGGCTGTTTGGGGTGTGTGGACTCCTAAGGTCCCAGCACTCACAGAGCCAAGGCCCAGACTCCCATCCCTTGCGGCATGGGGGTCACCACTAGGCACCCCCTCCCCGCCCAGCCGAGCCTGAGCTCCAGGGACAGCGGGGCGCTAGGGCTGGGCGGGCCCTAAGGTGGGGGCTGCAGGAAGCCCCACCAGCAGGACACCCACCCCTTCTGCCTCCGGGCTGCCCCTCCCCGGGGTGATTTCTTCCCAGGCCCTGGGCTTCTGCAGCACAAGGCCCTTCCCCTCCCAGCACTTTTTTTCCCTCCTTTTTCCCTCTAACAAGCCACAGGGGAAGCCTTGTACCCCCGCTCAGCAGCAAAGGCGGCCGGAGCCCAGAGAGGCTGTCTCTTCACCCAAGGTCACACAGCTGGAGAAGCAGAGCAAGCTGGGGCTCGGGGCCATGTCGCCAGGCTTTGGGGCGCTCTCTCCCACACAGGCGACTCTCGGGGAGGAGGGCGGCAGGCTGGGGTGGACATTCTGTGACCTGTATGTCCTCCAGAGGCACCTGGCCTCTCTGGGTCCCATTAGCTCATCTCTGAGATGGGAAGCGTGCCAACACGTCCCCGGCATGGGGGCTGGGCAGCCAAGGGCCGCCCCTTCCTCAGCAACTCAAGCTGGGAAGAAGCCTGGCTCTTCTTTCTCGGAAGACAATGCCCCCTCCCCTTTGGGCAAGTCCTTACCTGGGATCCAGGGACACCTGGGGGTCCTGGGGGACCATGTGGTCCAGGGGGACCTGTGGGCAGAGTCACAGATGGTCACCCGGGGCCAGCCCCCTGCCCACCCCATATTGCAACCTGCTCTTCCCTCAGAGCCTCATCTGTGGGGTCGCCCCACACCCCCCCAACCCCCTAGCCAGCCGCTCTCCCAGCAAATCTCTCTCAGGCCTGCCCCTCCTCTGGACCTAGGACCCTACCCCTCCAAGGCCACCCTTCTTGCCTGAGTTACTACAACAGCGTCCTGACCATCCATGCTCCACATGGCCACCCAGAGCCACCTTCCGGTTAGGTCCCTCCCGGGGTTCCTGAAGTCCTCAGCCCGGCCCCCTCCACCCTCATGCCCCCAGCTACTCTCCTGGAAAGCTCCTTGGCTTCTACGCTTCTGCAGATGCTGTTCCTTCCTCCTGGAGCTTCTCCATCCCCCCCCACGGCCCAGCAAATTCTTTCCTACTGGTCTTTCCTCTAGTCTCAGGCTGAGCATCACCTCCTCCAGGAAGCCTTCTGCCACCTACCCCCACCCCTCCTCCAGGCCAGTCCCCGACAGGGACCAGCCTCCACCCATGGCCATGGTGGATTTACAGGTCCATGCCTGGGGGCCAGGGAGCACCCAGAGGGTCGGTCTGAGTCTGGTGGGTGCAGCACAGGGAGCAGTGTTCCTGCTTGAACTTTCCACACTCTTGGGACAGTGAGGCCTCTGGGAGGCCCCTGCTGGGCTGTGCCCATGCTGGGGGAGGGCCTGCAGGAAGTGCCCCGCCCCCAGGTGGGCACAGACCTGGACTCTGTCTAGTTAAATACGCCCTCCCTCCGGTCAGAGTGCATGCCCTCCCCAGATACCCTCGGAGCACCTTCCCTCTCCTCCCTGGGGCATTTGCTCAAATGCCACCTTTTTTAAAAGAGGCCAGGAAACTAGACCCCTGCCCCAAGTAGGGAGGGCTCAGTGACTACGTGAAAGGGTAAATGAGTGATGGGGGGACGGGGCACCCACACACTTGGCAAGCAGGGCTGGCCCCTGCCCCGCACGCCCCTTCCCTCCCGTCCAGTGAGGGTCCCCGGACGGTGGGGGTCAGGCCAGGCCCAGGATCCAGCCCCTTAGAGCCCCAGGGCCATCCCCTGCCCCCAGTGCCCCTGGTTCCTGCCAAAAGGCCCAGGGCATCCTGACTCTCATAGGCACCTGCCCTGCCAGCTCCTGGGGCCAGCCCTGTGCTGACCCCCTGCCTCCCCCTGGGCCTGGGCCTCCACGTACCCCGGCGCAACCCCCACTCGGGCCCACATGGGGGCAGCCCTGAGCTGCTTCATGCGGGCAGCAGGCAGAAACACTTGGGGTTCCTGTGGCCAGTCCCACAAAGGAGCTGCCCCCCAGAAGCAAGGGAACTCGCCCAATCCCTAGCACCCTGCCAAGGCCATGTGCCCCCACCCGGCCCCACGAGGCCCGTTGGCCCAGGCCAAGCCCAGAGGGGGTGCCCAAGCCGGGCCAGGCTGTGCGGCTGCCCTCTGCACTTACCTGGAGGGCCAGGGGGGCCCCGGGGCCCCGGGACGCCGGCCAGCACTGTGTCCACGGCTGCAGAGGCCGGCTGTGAGTCTCCGTCTGTGGGCAGAGCAGAGCTGCCTGTGAGCCGGTGGGGCAGGGCTGGGCTGCTGGACCTGAGCTCCCCCAGGGCCAGGACAGGCACCCCCGACTCCACTGGGCCTCACAGCTGCCCTGGCAAGCAGATGCTCTTCCTCCCACGGAGGCCTGGTCATAGGGTTGGGTCGCATCCCGGGCACCGTGGGGGTTGCGCCGGGGTACGTGGAGGCCCAGGCCCAGGGGGAGGCAGGGGGTCAGCACAGGGCTGGCCCCAGGAGCCGGCAGGGCAGGTGCCTATGAGAGTCAGGATGCCCTGGGCCTTTTGGCAGGAACCAGGGGCACTGGGGGCAGGGGATGGCCCTGGGGCTCATACAATACACAAACTCCTTCCAGAGCATTCTAGGCCCTTCAGAGTCTGGCCCTGCCCTACTCACCTCCCCAGTGCCCCAGGCCAGAACCCTCCTCCACCCCACTCCACTCCACAGGCCCTTTCTTGATGTACCTGACAGGCTCCCGCGGGGCCTCCTCCAGGAGTCCCTCTCTGCCTCTCCTTTTGAGCTGCAGGGCCTTGGGCTGCCACTACAGGGCCCATTACTCAGCCTGGGGCAGGGGTGGGGTCTGTTTGTGGCCCAGCTCCCGCGATTTGGGTCTCTCCAGGGCAAGCCCCATGTGACTTTGTCCTGCCCGGTCCCCAGAGCCTGACCCAGAGAAGCCAGGCCCAAGAAATGCCTGGGATAGGAGTGGCCACGCCTGCCCTTTCCCCCACACCTGGAAGCCTGGACCACAGGCTCACAGCGGGCGGGGCCCCACTGGGGCATCCCCACTCTTCCCAAAGCGCACAGCCGGCCCTCCCTTGGGGACCCCAGGGCCGGGGGGTAAGGAGGGTCCCATCTGAGGAGGGCTCTGAGCACTCCAGATGGTAGGCAGTGCCCGAGGCATCATGCCCAGACCGGGGCAGGCTGGAGCCCGGGGACCGCTCCTTGCGGCCCCGGGGGTGTGCGGCTGAGCCCTGTTTGTCTCTCTGAGTCTTCAGTGAGCTCCCACTTGCTCCGGAAGGCTCTGCTCTCGCCTGAGGGCAGCCCAGGACCCCCATTCTGCTCAAGAATGAGTCCTTCCCAACCTCCAGAGCAACTCCACTGGGGAGTATTAACTGCCCCCACTCTACAGGTGGGGAAACTGAGGCTCAGACGGGGACAGAAGCACCAGCAGGAGGGGGCTAGGGTTTCTCTGACCCAAAGAGGTCCCCATCCCCCACGGTGCCTGGGATGTCACCCAACCCTGTCACCTGCTTCTTAAAACCCTCGCCCGGTTTCCCAGGGCACTTAACCAGATGACACCTCTTTTGCGCCCCCTGCCCCGTTCTCCGGGCCTCCCTGTTCCCGCCCTCCCCACGAGTAGGCAGGTGTTTCTGGGTTCAGAAACACCAGACTGTGGCCCCTGAGGGCAGGAGTCTGTTTTGCTCACTGCTGTATCCCCAGGGACAAAAACTGTGTGCACGACACATAGCACGTGCTCAACCAACACTTGTCCAGTGGCCTAAGGTCAGGGACTTTGCCTTTGTGTCCCTGTCACCGAGTCGGGAAACCGAGGCCGGCCAGACAACAGAGTGACCTGTGGGGGGTCAGGACCCCAGGGGCAGGAGCTGAGCACTGGGACAGGGACCGGCCAGGCTGGGGCCAAGAGCCGGGTTGGGCGGCCAGCGTCAGCCCCCCCAGGGACGCTTCCACCCCACCCAGCAGAGCCTTGCTCCCAGGCCCCGCTCCCTAAGGGTCTGCTTCGCCAGGGTCCGTCCCTCGGGGGACACTCACCGCCCTTGTCCGTCGGTGGCTGCAGGGAGTAGAGGACGCCCTGGGGGCCGTTCGGAGGGAAGCCCGGGCTGCCCGCTGGGCCAGGGGGGCCGGGGGGCCCGGGGCGCCCCGTCTCTCCAGGAAGCCCGCGGGGCCCTGGCGGCCCCAAGAGGCCTGCAGCAGGAGAAGAGGAGTCATGTGAGGGCCGGGCTTGGCAGCTGACACCGCCGGTGGGAAACAGGTCAGTGGTGGCCTCCAGACCAGTCTCCCGGGAGGGCTGTCCTGGGCTGTGAGTGAACATGGCTTTCTCTTCTGGCCTGGGGAGCACCGGGGCCGCTGGGTGGGAGGTGAGGGAGGCAGGGTGGCCCCCTCCAGAGGCCTCAGCTCTGGGGTTGGGGCACTGAGGGTGGAGGCCAGCCTGGGCCGGCCCTATACCTGCCTTCACAGGACCTGTACCTTCCCCGCAAGACCCAGGGAGAGTTGGGGGGCTCTCTGGAGGTGTTGTTTCAATGACTGAGAAGAGTCCCCAGGCCCCAGCCTCCCCACCCCACGCCTGCACCCCCAGCTCCCGGAACCTTCTGTTCTTCCTGCAGGGTCAGCCCAGACCCTTAAGGATTTGGGATAGGGTTGGCAGTGGGGGTGCTGGTGGGAGGAAGTGAGCCTGGGACCCCCAGGACGGCAGTCATTGACCCCAGCAAGATCAGGGGTTACAGGGTGCCTCAGCTGCTCAGATAGGGGGGAAACCCCAGCCCCTTCCCCCAGTGGACAAAGTCAGATCTGGGGGGTCCTTACCAGGAGGCCCTGCTGGGCCCTTCTCTCCTGCCTGGCCCCGGTCACCTTTGGAGCCTGGGGGACCTGCAGGCCCTGGCGGTCCCGTCTGCCCTGGGGGCCCTGGGGAGAGAGTGAGATGAGCCCTGAGCACATTGTGGGCCGAGCTGCCATGGAGGGGCTCCAGGCCTGACCACCTGGGCCATCAGGTCAGACCTGCTCCCAGGAGCAGAGACCTCATTACAGTCTACAAATCATTTTTGTACCTATTAACTCCTACGATCTCAAGAGCTGCTTGTGTTCCCACTTCACAGGTGGGGAAACTGAGGCTCGGGAAGGTGTGGTCCCTTGCTCAAGTGCCCAGAGCCAGGCTGCAGATGAGTTAGGCCCCTCCCTCAGGAGTCCTACTGTCTCCCAGCTCAGGGTTGGGAACAGGGTATGTGGCAAAGACCTCCCCAACGAGGCCTCATCGGAGGCCCCAGGAAGCCCTAAAGCACGCGGGTGCCCAACTCACCTGCTCTCAGGGATTTCAGGGCACACCCCGGTGTCACCATTTGTGGGGGTTGTGCCCCACCTGGTGGCCATTTCTTGGAACCGCACTTTGTCTGGTGAGGAGAAAGCGGCCCAGGAGACCCAGCGCCCCTCCCAGCCTCCCCCACAGGGGGTTTGGGGCCTGGGTCTTCTGACGGCAGGGAAGTCCCCCTCCTCCCCAGCTCCAGAAGAAGGATTTGGAAGAAGGCAGGCAGGGGCAGCTGCCTGGATGTGAAACCTTGGGAGGTGGGCCTGGGGACCCAGAATGAGATGCTCCCCCCACGCCTGAGCTCACCCCTCCTCCCACAGCCTCCAGCCCCGTCAGAAGATCCCAGAGTGTCTGCTCCTCCCAAGATTGGCCACCGGACGCTCCCACTGCTGGGGGCCGTGCCCTCTGCCCTCCCTGCTCTTCTTCCTCTCCTGACTGGACAGGCACAGGCGGACGAGGTGAGGAGGAGACGGGGTGTGAGCTCAGAGCGGAGCCTGGGCAGGGGTGCTAAGAAGTTGGGGGCTCAACTTCGGGAGAGGCGAGGGAGGGAGAGCGTCACCCGCACAGGACTCTAGTGGGGCCAAGAATCATCGAGACAATATGCCCCTGGATCAGGGGCTGACCCCAGGGGTCATTTCTCTGGGCCTTGGTTTTCTCCTCTGGAACCCCAAGCGTTACAAACTTACTGGAATGATTAGAAATGATATCTGTGCAGCCGAGGGTGATATGAAAATATTTATCAACTAGCCCAGCAGTTAACCTCACAAGCAGAAAGTTCAGCAAGGACCCCCCAGAAGGTGGTGGGAGGCAGAAAGCTCCCAGTAAAATTGAGCCAGAAGGCTGCGGCTGGGCTGGGGGTCTGAGCGCAGATGCTAAGAGGCAGTGGGGAAGGGCGTGAGGACACGCACCCAACTGTGGGACGACACGGAAGGGCGAGGCCCTATAACGGTCTGGATGGGGTCTGCAGGGGCAGCTGTGGCCCGGCGGCAGCAAATGGTTTCCATGAGGGGCTGAAGCCCCAAAGATCAGAGCTTCTATTTTTCTAAGAGAAGCTTTCTAGAAATCCCGATTTTCATGCGAAACCCTACAGTTTTGAAACGTTAGCTCAGTTTTTCAAAATACCATGTGGGGGCACTCGATCCCAAGGGCCTATGGTGCAGGCCTTCACTCACCCGCTGGGCCCGTGGGCCTTCTCCTTCGGGGCCCTGGGTGGGCGAGCGGGATGGCATCAGGGAGGAAGTCCTCGTTCCAGGGCGGTAGGGTGCTCTGGGGGGCCGGCAGGTCATTGCCCGGGCCTGCGGGCTGCCCTGCTGCTTCCAGCAGAAGAACCTGGGCCGGAGAAGGGCAGAGGGTCAGGACCCCGGGCAGGCCAGAGAGTCCCGTGCACAGGGATGTATGCCCTATGAGACCTGCAGCTGCCCAAAGCCAGGTATGGGCGATCACCGCTCCCCCTGCTGACGTGTTCCCCCCACCCCTGCCCTCCTCCTCGTTCCCATTTCAGGAGAGCCCCCCCCGGACCTGGGGCTTGAGCAGGGGGCCACCGGGACACCTTCAGACTCCCCGTACTCTTCTTCTGGAATGGCCATCCCCATGAGGCGAGCCCTGTGGTCACCACCACCCCCCCACCCCTTCCCTGGCTCTTCCCAAAGGAGGGACTGAAGAGAAACCAAAGGGCCTGGCTTGGGGCATGGTTTTTAGTAGGAGCTCTAGGAAAACAAAAGGTGGCCACGCGGGGCCAGCGTGGAAAGCTGCCCTGTCCTCTCCACTTGAGAGAGGTGGGGGTGTCAAAGCCTGGGAAGCCCCAGGGCCTGGGCGGGGACCCTGTCTCCCTAATTCAGGTGAGTGGGAAGCCAGGCCTCAGAGGCCCCAGGCAGTCCCTGCTGTCCCCAAAGAGGTCAGCAGGGGGCGCTGTGCACCAGGGATCTGAGCAAGGCCGCGGTGACGGGGGCAGAGACCCCCAGGAGGCCCACCCAGACGGAGAGGGGTCCCCAGGCCAGTCCAACAGAGCCTGGCTTCCTGCTCTGCCCACCGCGAGCCCCTAGTCTTTGCACCCTGATCTGCCCCAAGGGGAGGAAGTCTGGCGTCTCAGGTTCCCTCCAGTTCTTGGGAGCCAGAAGCCTGCATCTGCTAGATTCCCTGACTCCCCCGCCCCACATCCAGGAGGGCCAGGCCTGTGCATTTGGCCTCCCCCAGGCCCCGGCTGCCTCCCCAAATCCCCCTGCCTGCCCCCTTCCCCCTCCTGGCGCCGCCCCCACAGGAGGGGGTGAGGACTCCATGCAAAGTGAACCTTGAGGAGCCCCACCAAACCACCAGCTTCCCGACACTTCGGGACGCCCTTCTGGGCCTGCCCTGCTCTCCTGGGCCTCAGCAGTCTTGCTCCAGCCACCCTGAACTATACCCCAGGGCCCCTCCTGCCCTGACTCCGCACCCCCTCCAAGCCCTTCCCTTCACTCTGGAGCCGGGACAATCCTGAGACTCCAGTGACCCTTCCCCCCGCACCCCCCCACGGGCAGTCTGTCTGACCCTGCGGACTGAGGGTGTCCCCTCCTGTGTGTGCCCTCAGCCCCTGCACCATCGCTTTGTGTCAACAGCCCGTGCGCCAACTCTCAGGGTCTCCATCTGCAGTGGGCCAGGGGCCCTGGTACCTGCAGCCCCCCCTCGCAAAAGGCCTTGGCTCGCTTCTTTGTGGGGCCACCCCACCATCCCCCTACCGCCTCCTACGCAGACTCCAAGGCCCACAGAGCCCACAGACCTGGGCAGAGCCCCGGCCACAGCCAAGTTCGCATCTGCCCCGGCCAAAGTCCAAGGCCGCCGGGCCTGGCCACGGCCGGCCGACCTCCCGGAGAAACTGATCCCACCCCTGCCGGCATGACCTCACCAGGGCGGGCAGCAGTGGGCGTGGTGGTTCGACCCAAGAAAACCAGACTGTGGCCAGCCTTGGAGGCCAGTGGTCCTGATGACATCACTGCAGCCTGGCTGATTGGCCGGGAGGCCATCCTCCTGCGCCAGAGACCAGCTAACTCAAGGCTTCTGTGACCCTCACACAGGGAACCCCCCTCGGGCTCCCTCCCACGCCATGCGGCTGCGGGGTCCGTGAAGTCAGAGTGTAAACTGAGGGGGAGGGGAGAGAGGAAGTCAGGGAACTTCTGCCTGCTGACCTTCCACCCCACCATCCCCCTACCGCCATCCGACCCTGTCCCAGGAAGAGGGTGGCAGGAGTCCCAGATCAGCTCCTAGGGCTGGGTCCTTTCGGAACTCAGGCACCAGCAGGGAGTGAAGATGGAGCAGACCCTGATGGCTGCCTGGCTCAGGAACCCCCTATTGTGTACCTGTGGATGTGCCCCAGAGGAGGATTCATGATTGGCCAGGTACCTATTTTCCCAGCTCCCTTGCGACTAGGAGGTGGGCAGATAGCCCAGTGCTGGCCAATGAGACACACGAGCCTGTTAGGGTGCTTTGCCATAACCTCTACTTCCTGCTTTTGAACAGGTATAAGGATGTGATGCCTTGAGCTGCAGCAGCCACTTTGTAACCATGAGGCACTAACCAGGAGGACAAAAGCCAACTCACTAAGGAGGTGGAGGGGAAGGCTGTGAAGGGCCTGAGTTCTTAAGCCACCAAACCAACCCCAAGACCACCTACCGCTGGACTCCTTGTCAAACAAACAACAAATGTCCTGAAAGAATAACCTGCCATTGGCTGGGTGTCTGTAACTTAGAGCTGAACCCGTCCCTCCCAGCACACCAAAGCAGCCTTCTTGTCTCAGAGGGCAGGAGCCACAGTTTCCAGGCCTCTGGGTTGCTGCTTTCTTATGCCAGCCCTCAGGTTTCTGACGCCCCATCTGGGGTTCGCCCACCTGGCTCTCACTGGCCTGGCCACAGCCACTGACCCCATTCCATGGTCTCTCTGACCCTGGCAGGCAGGCGCCTGGCCTCAGCAGAGGCTGTCCTGGCAGCTAGGCCAGCTTCCGTCCCCCTCCCTCTCCAGGCCGATGCCTCTGAGGGCCCTGTGACCTGGGCTGATGAAGCACCCAGGGGCTCAGTTTCCCCAGGGGACATGGGCGTGTTCGCAGGCAGGGACACAACTGGCAGGTGACCTGGAGAAGGCACAGGAGCTGAGGCAGGAATCAGCCCACCCCTGACCTGGGGGTGGCAGCCACCTCTCCGCACAGCCCAGACTCTGACCACCTTCCCTTCTCTGCCCCAAAGCTCACCCCCGTATACCCACCCCAAAACAACCCGGTGAGGGGCAGCGAAGTGACTCCTTCCGTCTCCATTTCACAGGGCAGCAGACTAAGGCCCAGGGCTGAACAGGGACCTGGCGGGGCAGAGCCATTGCTGGGCAGGAAGCCTATCACGGGCTCCTCCAACACCTCCTGCTGCCCCCCCCCGGGTCTGGAGAGGGGTCACGACCCTCACCTCGGAGCCAGGGAGCCAGCCCCCGCCCCCCAGAGCCCTGACTTTTAACACCCCGAGGTACTGGGCCGGGGCCAGGACAGCTGTCGGCTGACACTCCGCCAAACCACGCAGGGCCTCTGGTCTGGAAAATGTCCTTCAGGCCAGCTGGCTTGGGGACCCCTCCTTTTGTTTGAAATCTCGGGTGCCCCAGGGCCCCCCACCCTCCCAGGGCTTCCCCAGCCCCGGCTTGGCCCAGGTGGCAGCATCTCTTCCCTGAAGGTTTCCATGCCCGCCCCGAGGAGGGTACGGGGTCCCCCACCCCCAGCCTGTGCCCAGGGGTCTGGGCTGCTGGGGGACCCTCCCACCTGCAGAAGGCCTCGGGGACAAGGGAGGCCATTCGCCCCCTGGGGCTTCTCATGCCGTGTGCTCTGCACGGGGTTCTCCCACACACCTGTGCCTTCACCTGTAAGATGGGGACGGCAGCCTCGAGTAGATGATGACACAGAGCCTCTCCTCGGTCCGTCACTCCCGTTCCCAAAGCCAGGTCCCACCACCATGTCGCCTGAGGCCCCAGCCGCCCTTGACCCCCGCCGGCACATTGCACAGCTGCGGTGAGAGCTCGGTCCCACTTATGTCTGACTCCAAGGGACAGTCCCCTGCAGTCCCCATCCCACAGGGCAGGTGCCCTCATGGCTGAGCAACTTCAGCAGACACGTGAGGCAGGGCCCTGAGGTGACGGGAGACACAGCCCAGAAGTGTCCCCCACGGAGGGATGGTGGAGACAGCTGGTTTCCTCGACCCTTGGCCTGCTCTGCACTGTCTCTCCAAGGAGCCAGAGGGGACAGACCCCCCGGTGTCCACGAGGATAACCTGCCCGTCACCACACCTGCTTTGGAACAGGTCTAAGGATGTGATCACACAGCCTTCCCTTCCTGACTTACTCCCTGTCTCCTTGCCCCATGCTGCCTAAGGCTACTCCTCCGTACTCGTCCTTTCTTCAGTCCTTCAGCCTCTGGGGTGACCCGCTCCGACCTCTGATGCAGCGGGGTGGGGGGGGGGCTGGGGG